AGAGAGAGAGAGAGAGAGAGAGAGAGAGAGAGAGAGAGAGAGAGAGAGAGAGAGAGAGAGAGAGATGTGACTAAACTATGCTGTGTTGAACTGTACCGAATTGAAGCATTTTCAACCAGGGCTATTGTCTCCTGTGGGTCCTGCCATTTACATGCATCTGTGAGCCGCTTTGTGCTATAACTCCTCATGCATACGGCAGCCATCCTTTATGAGTCATACCATAATCACATCAAGCCTATACAGCACTACACATACATTGCTGCTGTTTCATACGCATTCACAGCAGGCTACTCCGAGTGTGCCGCTGAGGGAACCGCTCCCTACATCTCGCTTCCTTTACGCAAACTAAGCCGATGAGTCTCAAAGACTCTTGAAGTCCCAGAAGCTTTATGCATCTTCAACACATGCTTCCTTGTCACTGCTTGTCCTCCCTCAAGCCAAGCTAGTTGTATTGCCTGTGACCTTTTAACAGATTCCCCTGGCATCACCGCAGCCTGCAGTCATTTGCAGTGTGCGCCATCACGAGCAGCATAGCAAACGTTTCCAAAAGGGTCACAAACTGTATCTCAAGCATCAGAGGCACTTCGTTTGATGGTTTTTATACTGATTGCGCATGTTGTTGTCATGTTGAAATTTCAAGGGTGAAGAATCAGTAATATGCTTCCCACACACGGTGTGATTTGTTTGTTTGCCCTTCAGCATTGGATTAAGACTATATTTAGACAAATGAAGTATGCTAATGAGCACCTAGCTTCTGGAAGGCATATCTGACAACACACGCTCTGCCAAGTCCATAATCTTTCCCCCGAATCCCTTTTTCTCTCAGCTTCAATTTTTTTCTCCACTCTATTGTGATCCCATTGTTAATGCTTGTGGAGTTACATAACATAAGGTTTGTTCACACGGTGTAAAAGGGTGAGGGGGAGTTCTCACGTTTATTAGTTGCTGAAGTGCATCTTAATTTGACACTTAGCCCCCAGAGAAAGAGAAGTCTTGCATAACTGTGCTCTCCTAGATGGAGATAAGACATTTTACCCCTGTCAGAACGGTGCTGACCTGTCCTAGTGAATCATACTCACGCTCATGTACCATTCATGCTGATTCCAGATTAGATCCAGATTAGGCTGTTAAATCATATCCATTACATGTAAACTTCTCGTGGCTCACTGTTCACTCAGGAAGTTTCATCTCAGCAGCAGGGTTTTCTTGTTTCATCTAAAAATAATTAACCTTATTTTCAGGGCAGTTTTCCATCGGAGAGTTGCTTCTTAGCTATCTAGGCTAAGCGATGAGTGCCTAAAAAACAACCGATACCTTCAGAATCATCCATAAAAGCTTGAAATGATGAGGTGTTAGTTGAGGGAAGAAATGAAGAGATGTTCACTGTTTCTAATTAAGAGGAGCTTACATTATACCTGAAATCAATGAAAGTTGTTTTCAGTCGTAAGCTTTTAAACCTCTGACATCAATACTCAGTAAGCATTTGGATAAGCCTGAAAAAAGGAAACTTGGGAAGAATCAAATTATAAAAATCCAGAATCAATTATATTTTAATCAGGGGACATCTTTTCTGGACAAGGATCCAAACATTCCTTGAAGTTTGCCCGATGGAGGTCTGAGGATTGTGTTTGTAAAGGATGCAAAGTGTTCAAGATTCTTTCGTTTTTTAAAACATAACTTATATGTTTAAAATCAATGGAGTTCTCCTGTAACTACCAAGTGGACAACACTGTTTAGCATAACTGAATAATGGTATTAATAATGGTATAAAAATGAGTCCATACAAAACTGTACTTTAGCATTTGTAGGCATGTTGTTCGTAATTATGTAGTTGCAACCAGCAGCTTACATGTTACGTACTAGTTAGTCCATTTTTCAGTTAATCCAAGAATTTGAATATGTGGATCTTGGGTCTAATCACATGAGGGGAGTGCATTTATCCAGTTGGGTCAAAGCTAATCACAATTTAAGTGTTTCTTCTTTCTGAAATCTCTGGGAATTTTTAAAAGCTCAATTACAATTCCATCAGCACTTCTTCAACAAGGTGGTAGAAGGTGATCTGGCCACACTTTGTTGTTGATCTTGTGTGAGTGAAAGGAATAGCCTTGAAGTTGAATGCAAAGGTGTACGAGCATTATGCAGCAAACCTCCTTTTTGCCCGAGGCTTTGTCAAAAGAGATAATACCTGAGAAACCCAAAGCCATGTGAAACAAATGGTCATGTGAAAGAAGAACAAAAGACATTCTCACAATGACAGCTTGTCAAACATTTTGCACAAGTCCCCATAGTGTAGTTCACATCCAAACTGCATGTTCGTTGGTCCACATGGTCTAAATGTATTTTGATGGCAATGGTATCTGCCAGACAAGTTCTGGCTATTCATTCCTCACTGTGTTTCTCAATTTTAGAACACAAAAAAATGCTGTTTTCCAGGTATAAGCGATATGTTTCCGGTGCCTTTTGTTGCTGCACCAATGAGAGATCAGAGTTTTGGGATTGCTGTAGTTTTAGAGATTGTATTTTGGCATTAGGCAGTGATATCCCTGGTAATGACTCTTACTTTCCAGTATTATCATATGGCAGTGCAGTGCAATTTGTAATCCTGAACATCAAATGAAATGGATAAAAATAAATGTTAAAGTCTTTAGAAATCCTCAAGTGTCACTTCCTGCTGGCTCAGCAGATTAGG